TTTGCAATACAAGTGAGTAATGTCTCTCACTTCTGTAGGTGCTGGGGGTTTGTAAATAGCAGTGGTTTAATGGCCCCATCTCTGACAATCCACCCCTTGCCAACAGGACTCCATAACAAGGGTTTGGGTTCGGGCTGTGACACCATATCGCTCTCTGAAACATTGCTCTTTACATGTTGTTGAAATGCATCCTCTGTTGGCGGCAGATTTTCTGAGGCTGCATCTGTTGTTGATGCAATTATGAACCTCAGTTCATTCAACTTTGTGCACATCAGTCCAATTTCCTTTTTTCCATATAGCAGAAGCGCCAATTCTCTTACGACTGGCAAAGACTCTTCCAAGCTGGCAGAGAGTCCAAAATGGGCCAGATCTTTGAGCTCGCTGAGATGGGTCTTGGGTTTGGTGAATGCTGTTGTCTTTCCTATTCTGTACAAACTACTTGTTGTGCCACAGCCAGTGAGTGCACGACATGCTGGTAGACAGTTAGACATGTAGTTGCCGCCCAGCTTCAGGACCATCTCCAACTAAACGGCCTCTTTTACCTCATTCACACTAACGGTGTTTCAGGGCCGGTTCGTAGCTGGAGCCTGAAAAGCACCGGGTTTTCCTGTTCACACCGCAGCGGAGCAGCCTCTTAGCTCTGGAATCCGGTTCATTTCAAGCACCAAAAAAAATTGTCCGGATGGAGCAAAAGCACCGCATAAGTCACGCTTACGTCGAGTCAGGGGCAGATCAACTCCTGAACAACAACAAAAAAAGCTGCCGTTTTATCCAGTTTGTACACAACGATGGAGAAACTTAACAAGCAGCAGTGGTCCACTGAAGAGACCAGCTACCTACTGGGAATCTGGTCTTTCGAAAAGGTACAGGGGAAGCTGGAGCACAATCGGCTATTGTTGTTGTCGGTGTCAGCTGTGAGGGGTTTCCGCGCGCTTTGGCTTTATGAAGCAGGCACGCAAAACGGTTACGTCATGACGCAAACGATGACGCAATGACGCAGCATCAGTCGGACTCTGGGCAGTGTGAAAACCGAGAACCGGTTCTGAACCTGAAAAGCTCTAGCACGGCGCTTGAACCGGAGTTGCGTTGGTTGTGAATGAGGGTATGGAGAATTCCCAGTCCGGTTTCCGTTCCGCCCACAACTACTTGGTTGTGCCACAGTCCAGTGAGTGCACAACATGCTGGTAGCACGTTAGGACTGTCTTTTCCAATTTTCTCACCATATGATGTTGATGGGGACATCTCTCTTCCTCTCATTCATGCCTGCATGCATGCCCACTAGAGATGAACCAAAACATGTTATTTGCTTGCATAATATATGAGCAGTACTTCCACACCTGTATCATCACACTCACAAGCTGATGGCGGAAATATGACTCTTCAAGATGGTATTCCATGGAGCACCATCCTTTGTGTCTGTCTCCTTCCTGATCACTGTACAGTGATGTCAACTGCTGACTCTGCTGTGCAGATGCTCTTCACTCCTCCCCTTCGTCAAAATCCTGAGTGTAGTCCTCTGTGGGGCAGCAGTGACAATGTAGTTGGCTCTCAAACATGCAGAGTGGCAGTCTCTGTTTCCACTACTCAAGTACTTCCTGTAAGTTTGGGACATTTTGTTTTGCTGTTAGGTTATAACACTTTCGCTGTTATATCTCCAGAGATGGGTCCCCTCATTACAGATCTGCACTTTTGCCTAAACATTTGTTTTTAGGCCTTTCTTAAAGGTCTTCAGTTGGTCTGTGGAGTCCTCAGGTGGTTCTGGCGAGTCTTCACGTGTTCTGGGGAGTCCGTCAGGTGGGTCTGCGGAGTCCTCAGGTGGTCCTGCGGAGTCCTCAGGTGTGGCTGAGCTGCACAGAAAGCGCCGATCCCCCATTGTGCGGAGTTTTGGTCCTGTGGGGGGGGGGGGGGGGGAG